CAATAAGGAAAAGTCCTTAATTTTTACCTAATGCGCTTACTATTTGACTAACTTGATATCTTTCCATGATCTCCGATTTTTTTATTGCACCATGTGTTACCATGAGAAAGATAACGAATATTACATAACAATAAATCGACTAATTGACAACATATATTCGATTTAATAGTGAAATAAAAAAAAAGACATACAAGAAACTAAATCATGTAAAAGCAGCATTCAAAGCCAAATAATGTTTAGTGACGTCAATTAGGCGATAATTTATGGTCTAATTTCATATCTGTCATTTTGACAGGCCTGCCGAATGAATTAAAAAAAAAGCTAACGAAAAAGAGTCAATATGTTCTGTACTCTTCAGTAATAATTTAGATCCGTTCTCTTCGAAGAAAATACTAAAAAAGATGATAAAATGCATTCTAGCTGGTTATCAGGTGAACCAATTGTCCTCTGCGATAATGAGGCTGTGTTATATTTCAAATAGACGAAATATTTACACAAAGCCTATGGGGTTATATAAAGATCTGAGAACTAAACAAACAGTTTTTGTCTTAGAATATAGCTCATACCATACAATTCTCGGGTGAATCAGCTACTCTCCTTCTTTTGTCGGAATTTGTCGAGTTGAGACGAATATGCCTATCCATCTGTTACTTACATCATTTCATATTAACTTGGGACAGGCTAATAAAGAATATAATGGGGTTAAACATGTTCGTAGCACTCCCATTTATGAAACAGTGGCGTAACAGCACAACATAAGAAAAACTTAAAAAATCAGTGGAAAAGGGCTCGACACACCAGACCGGCACAAAGCGCAAACAAAAGCTACAAATGTAACAACAAACTACTGATCTATCATGTCTATGATAGAGTACTAGTATTTGCTGACAGCTAGTTAAAAGGCAGTTACAACTTACGACTTAGTCATATTTAAGACTACAATATCAATCAATCAGTACTCATCCAACGCGTTAAGTGTGAAGGCGTCATAAACATGTCCGAGAAAAGAATTAACGTGTGAAGTGCCAAACTGCAAATATCGACTGGGTGTCATCCGTTTACTTCAAAATGCAACTATGTTATCTAAAAAAAAAAAAATCAAAAGACGCAAACAAAAATTAACAGTACTCGCAATTGAATAACTTTGGTATATATAAATAAATAGTAATTATCATACTTCATGTTTACTGGCTAATACGAGGATAACATTCTACGCTATCACCCTCTAGTTGCTATAGGCGTTATTTTTATAAAGCATATTTTACTGGCAAACACGAGGAACTGAATCTATTTTAATCCTATTGATAAGGTTTTTCAATGTCTACCATAAATGAATGCAAAAAGTAAAATAACAAAAATACCGAACTCCAAATTTTATATACAAACACACAATTTTTATAGTATTCCATGCTTTTATTCGTATAATTGAAAAAGTTTACATTTAGTCTTTGGAAAGTTCAATAAATATATGAAAGTTTTAAAGAGTTTAGATAAAGATAGACTTGACAACTTTTTATTCGGGATATTCCTGAAATCATTTTTAACATTGATTAAAAATTTTGGTAGCAAAGCTATGTGATAAACAGATCTTAACACATTTTAAGAAAAGTCCCTAAAAATAACCTATATGCGAAATGTATAACACAGATGTCTTCAAACATTTCGGGAATTGTCACTTAAATATTTGGTATATGGTATCAAACAGTTGAAACGTATTTGAAACTGACACCAATTAACTTAAACATGCATGTTTCCTTGTAAGAGTTATCTCTCCGAATACTATTTTACTTGTTATCACTACTGCTTCACCTCATAAAAGTTATCAACAAATCTATTTTCCCAAATTGTTCCTTACATCATCAGAATATCAAGAATAATTTTGACTGAAAGCAGTCCAGAGACTCCATATGAGAGCATTTATCTTTTTCTGTTTGACATACTAGTAAGTGTTGTTGTAACTCGTAAAACGTAAGTAATAGAGACCTCAGGTTATCACTCTCCTCAGAAACCATAATATATATTGACAAAAGGTTTTTACCAATTTTTCAGTTGCAACATGTCATATTTAGTTAAAGGGGTACATTACATTGACATTTAATAGTTTTCTCCCAGAAATGTTTAAAATAAGATGTTTGGTGATTACAAATCATCGACTATCATGACCATACATAGTATATAGTATTGAATACAAAAGTTGGAATTAAGGACACACCAAGAGACACCCTCATCACTATATTATGGCACCCTCTTCATGAAGTTGTTGGTATAAAAAAAAGAGTGCACACGCTGAAGTGTCTCGCCTGTTTTACTTATCATTGAATTTATGTTGAAAGTTTGTAACATGAAGGTTTTACTGCAAGAATCACAAAGACTTAACATTATCAATGTTCTATGATAATGAGGTCATGGTCGGACAAACCAGGCCAGACAGACATGTACACCTTACAATCATTCCATTCAAAAAATATAGTTGACCTGTTGCTTAAAGTGTCTGATAAACTGACAAAATTAAGAAAACTTACCATTGACCAAAGAACCAAGATAATGAGGTCAAGGTCAGATAATACCTGCCAGACAGACATGTACACCATACAATTGTTCCATCACTAAATATAGCTGACCTATTGCTATTAGTATTTGAAAAACCGACCAAAACACAAATTTAACATTGACCAATGATTACCATGAAAATGAGGTAAAGGTAGACAAACACGTACACCTTACATTCATTCAAATTACACCAAACATAATTGACCTATTGGTTATAGTATTTGGAAAACAGACCAAAAACACAAAAACGTAACATTGACCAATGAACCATTAAAATGAGGTCAAGATCAGATGAAGACTGCCAGAGTGACATGTACACCTTTCAACCATTCCATACACCACATATAGTTAACCTACTGCTTGAAGTTTCTGAGGAACAGACCTAATCACGTAACTTTAACCTTGATCACTGATCCATGAAATGAGGTTGAGGTCAGGTGAACCTTATCTGAAAGATATGTAGGCGTTGCAAGAAACCGATATACCAAATATAGTTATCTTACTACTCATAATAACTGAGAAATTCACCTGATTTTTTTCAGTCGCTGAACCATGAAAATGAGATCATGGACAATGGACACATGACAGACGGAAACTTCGTAACATAAGGTATCTGCATACAAGGTATGAAACATTCAACTCTTCTACCTTCTGAAATATAAACCTTTATACAGACTTTAATACAAATGTATCGCATACTGCGACTTTCGTCGTAGGCGAGCCAATAAACACTGATAAAACAATCTTATTTGTGTATGGTATTGAAAGAAAAAACAAGTATGTAGTTGTCTGGAGACAAATAAATAAAAACAAGTCACTGTCCTGCAGAACAATGTGTGCAGGTTTGGTGAATTAGCTGTTTACCAGGAGTTGCAGATTTACAAGTACTATTAGCAGGCTATGCAATAGCCATGTCAATGTTTGATTAAAGTTGAAAGAAACAAACATTTGGTGGGACATTTTATTATCCTTGAAAAGAGATATTCTATTGGAAAAACAAATAGCATTGACTTACTAACCATTAGCGGTTTCCCTTAAACAGACCTAATCACAAACTTAACCATGTAAACAGAAGGAAAAAAAATATCATTTATCAAAAATCGCTGTGATAAAAAAAGCTCTTCCTTAAGCATGTCCCAAAATCATCTGTGTCTAATTCGCACTATTTGTGAAAGTGATTTTGTGACCATCAATTATAATGAACAAATGGCCAGCTCGGTTGATTACCGTATATAACTGCAACCAATATAAACCTGATATACAAACGTTCATGACAGTTTCACACTCGAAAAACATTTGAACAACCGTTTAAAGAACTTCACTATGAAATTATCAAGAAAACATCTCGACCAACCAACCCTATGTTTATGGGGCATGCAACTGGAAATACACCTAAATGTTTGTTTGGCCTAGGAAAAAATTAAACAAGAGTATACAAACACTGAAATGTCTTGCCTGCTTTACTTATGATTGAATTTATGTTGAAAGTCTGTAATAAATCTGACGGTTTTACTACAAATATCAATGACCCATGAAAATGAAGTCATGGTCAGTTGAACCATACGTGTCAGACATGTGCACCTTACAATCATTCCAAAAACCAAATATAGTGGCCTTACTGCTACTAGTATCCTAGGCATAGACCAAACCTCAAAACTAAACATTGTTCAATGAACCATGAAATTGAGGTCAATGTCAGATAATACCTGCCTGTCACACATGTACACCTTACAATCTTTCCATACACCAAATATAGTTGACATACTTCTTATTATATCTGAGATAACGACTTGACCACCTAACTTTAACCTTGATCACTGATTCATGAAATGAGGTTGAGGTCAGGTTAACAATGTTGCTTCTTTATTTGAAACCCGTGATTTGTTAATGTGTCCATAACAAGAATCTATCATTTAGCATATCTTTGAAATGAAAAGATACCTATCGTAATCGTAAAATGCATGACGGGAAAACTTGTTACTGTCATAATTATCTATTTGGAAGAGGGGAGAGTATCACAAAACAAAATGAAAATACGTAGTCATTCACAATAACATTCAGTACTGATACATGTAAATATCGATGAATCAAATTGTCCCTTTGCACCTATAATGTTCTTAACATAGACAAATAAAAATTAACTATTTTTGTGCAAAGTTTTTCCTGCTTACTAATTATAATATCCCTAAGATTCGTAAATGATCTAAAGGTACCCCATATGTTGAGCACTTGCAATATTTTAAGGTTAAACACAAGTCAATCGAAATCAAAATTCTTTATACAGTCTTTACTTTTGTTATATAACCTCCAACTGTTACTGGCGTAAGTTTCTAACTAAAAGGCACAAATAATAAGATATTGTTTGTATATTAAACGCTATCATTATATCTTAATGATTATGTAAGCTGTTGCACTAAGACCACTAATAAGATGTCACGATGTGATATTTTCATTTTTACTTGTTTATGTATTGACACGGGTCTTGAATGCCTTGTTTCAAATTATTAGCCTGATGAGGTTTTTTTTGGTAAACGCCTTTATTGCAGACTGTAAAACGGATATTATATATATACATGTTTAATTGAGTAAGTATTTTAGATAAAAAATCTCAATTAGGTTGTTATGTTTTGCATGTTTCTATATATTGTACATTTGTTCGTAATGGTGTATTGAAACTGAGGACGTGTCAATAGACTGCAACTATTTTCAATATGAAATAAGCACACGAAGTCATATATAAATTAAAAAAAATTAAAAAAAAACCAATTGTGTACTCATTGTAAATAGAAAAAAAAACACAATGGTTTAATGATTGCCCTACCCCTGCTACTCTTACTGTTATAATATATTATCTCTCTCTCTCTCTCTATCTCTCTCTCTCTCTCTCTCTCTCTCTCTCTCTCTCTCTCTCTCTATATATATATATATATTTATATATATACAACTCGTCTAAACATCAGCCCAAAAATGTTAGATCTGTAAATTTGCTTTCGCAAAGTGTTTGTTCTTCCATCGCCGAGATTCGAACTCATGCTACTGAGATATCGTGACACCAAATCGCCTGCACTGTATCGGACGCGCTAGACCACACGACCACATAGGCTTCACAATAATAAAGCTTTCGGTTGCCGGGTGTTACCTTTCCTCGTCAGTTTTAATCTAGCGTTGTAATACAGTACATGATATATAAGGCATGAAGATGGAATTGTTACAGATCAGCTGAAATATCTATTGTAAAGGATCCTACAAATTAATGTAAGATACAGTCACAGAAATATTTATATTCATAAGTACGTCTGAACCAATGACAACTCTACAGCAGATTTATCCATCGGATCACCAGCAGTGATGGTGATACATGGCTGTGTATATTCTGTATATACAACTCGTCTAAACATCAGCCCAACAATGTTAGATCTGTCAATGTGCTTTCGCAAATTGTTTGTTCTTCCCTCGCCGGGATATAAATATAATTATTTCTGTGACTGTATCTTGCATTAATTTGTAGGATATACAGAATGTACACAGTCATGTATCACCATCACTGCTGGTGATCCGATGGATAAATCTGCTGTAGAGTTGTCACTGGTTCAGACGTACTTATATATATATATACTTACTTTGGTATTACAATGCAATAACTTCACATTCAATGGTGAACACTTTCTCCAAGTTAATGCAATGGGAACAAAGATGGCCCCGTCTTATGCCAATATTTTTATGGGGAAATTAGAACAGAGAATTCTCAATTCTTCTCTTTATCAACCCCTCGCTTGGTTCCGATTTATCGATGATATTGACATGAAGTGGGATAATACTGAACAAGAACTAAATTTGTTCATTCAACATGCCAACGATGCCCATTCCTCAATAAAATTCACATATGAAATCTCTGACTCTAAGATCACATTTCTAGACACTACAACGCAAGTTAGGGATGGAAACATATTTACAGATCTGTATTGCAAGCCCACAGACAAACATCAATATCTATCTCCTTTGAGTTGTCACCCCAAACATTGCACCAAGAGCATTCCCTACAGTCAGGCCATACAAATAAAAAGGATTTGCTCCACCAACGATATTGCAAAAAAACGACTACAAGAACTTTGCGGTCACCTAAAACATCGGGGCTACAAAAGAAAAGACATTGATAAAGGTTTTTCTCGCGCTAACAACATCAGCCGAGATGAACTTTTACAATATAAAGTCAAAAAGGTCAACAGGAGGGTGCCTTTTGTGTTGACTTACCATCCAAAATTTGACAACTTATCTCACCTAATCCGCGAAAATTGGAAAGAAATCGAAAAACATCCTAAACTATCCAAGATCTTTCCCGTGCCACCTGTACTGGCATTCCGTAGGCCCAAAAGCCTTAAAGACTTGCTGGTGAGAGCTGATTTATCCTCTCAAGCAGGCTCTTCGTCTGTGGGCTCTTGCAAGGGTTGCGGAAACAAACGATGTCTGACTTGCAAACAAATACTGGTTACCCAGACTTTTAACAGTCACTCCACTGGTACAGAATACACCATATTTTGCAATGTTGTGTATCCCCTACAATGTAAATGTGGTAAACAGTATGTTGGCGAGTCAGAGCAGCCGTTTCACAAACGAATGAACGGTCATCGTAGCGACTACCAATGCAAGCCAGACCTCCCTCTCAGTCGACATTTGAGATCCCCTGGCCACACTAAGGCAGATCTCAATCGACTGACCATTACAATCATTGACCACAACTCTGCTTGGTCTACGGAGGATAGACTCACTCGGGAAAGATTTTGGATAAGAAAATTAACAACTTTGGCACCAAATGGGATAAATAAAAAAGATGTAGTTCGACTCCATGCAGTGCTTCACATTTGGGTTATATTACTTATTATATCAGTCTCTGTTTCCATTTCTTTACCTTACTCATCTCTAAAATCTGTTGAATATACCAATTTAAATTGCTTAATTTTTTGAGGGATGTAAAAGTACCAAGCCACGTTCAACTAGTTAATCTTAGTCAAAATTTATAATTATATTTTAACGGCCGTTTGTTTGCGATGTTTAAATACGCAGACTCTGCTGTAACTGCTCTACCGTTGTCAAATTTGAAGTATTTACAAATTTAGATCGTTCAGTGCTGTTTATTTGGAATTCTTATTGACGCAATAGTTCTTGTAACATCATAACTGTCGTCACCGTTAAAGCTTTAGAATTGTGCTAGTTCATATCGCACATTATTATTCTTATTTAAAGCATATATTTGAACTCTCTGTTGTAATTAGTCATATAACCTATGTCGTGTTTAACACATATTTAGAATTGTGCAAGCGTCTTACCTGATGTTCGGTTTGACTTTTTTATTGTATAAATTTCAAGATTGTTATAGTTTAATCTAAGTAGACTGATATATGATTCATTCAACATCACAATCATATTTACTAAAGAAGGATATCTGTTATCCGAAATATTTATAAATATATATATACAAGTCTAAATTGATAATAACGTTCAAACATATGATTGCGTTGGATAAAAACCCCAATTTTTATACGTGTGCATGCAAAACAAATTTCTTGGTAGAGGGGTCTAAATACATCACAAACATTTTCCAAAAGACCAAAAAGTGAAAAAAGTATATTTTAAAAATGCAATTGACTAGCAGGTCGAACAACGGATGTCCTTAAACCCTGCTGACTGCCATTGGTAATTGACAAATAAATGGATCACCAGATGTAACCAAATGGATCTTAACTATGAATTTAATACCAAACAGAAAACAATAAACTTGCGGAAAAGATGGTATACCGCAAACAAAAGGCGCAAAAATTAATACACCATATCCGGATTTCGACAATTAATGTCTCTTCAGTGATGTTTGGATCGAAACGGTATTTGGAAGGCCATATAATTTAATCAATTAAGGATAGTCTCTTGAAATTTGAAGAGTCGAAATAGGATGAACGGATCATACAAACCCGAAGGTAAATATAATACAAGCCCAAACGAAAAAATATAATAAGTCTAAATTGAAAACAACGTTCAAACCTATGATTGCGTTGGATAAAAACTTCAATTTTTATACGTGTATATGATGGGCTTTTAGGTGTTTATGATCTTAAGTCAATTAGCTTACATTTCGGTTCCCAAACTTTGAAATGCAAAGAGCTTAATATTTAACTCGAACGCATCTGATAAAGAATACCCCCCCCCTTTCACCAAAAAAATACAAAATAAAAAAAAAAAAAAAAAATCGTGTGTAGTACGCATTGAAATCAGTCTCCGTTGTATTCATTCAGTTTATATGTTAGTGTTGGAAGTTCAACTTGAATTTAATAAGCATGGTAATTTTAATGGACACAAATATAGATATGTTATTTGTTTATTTTCCTAACAAAGGTTATAATTAAGATATTTACATGTGTCTACTAAAATACAAAAATGGTCCTGCAGTTAACAATTTAAAACATAAGTGATCTGTTGTGTATCTCCTATAGATATATGTTTGACTAGATCGATGTTCGGACCAAAATCGGTTTTGGTCTTCATGGCACCAAAATTCTATATGAAGTTTTGTTTGTCTTTTATGGTTTTCTTATTTGCCTAGTGTTGTTTGTTTTTCTTGGACCTATGGCTTTTGAATACATTCTTTGTATCTTATATCACCTTTTTGAAAAGCAGATTGCTTTTATGAATGAGAGAAAAAAAAATTGTTATTGAAACTTCAGGGTGAATTGCATGTTTGAATAACACTAAGAAGACATGTTTACAAATCAGCAGTATAACAATGTATAAGGAGTTTAAGATTGCCTTCAATCACTGTGAACATTCTTTCGTACGGTATTATATAGTAAATGAATTACTTCTTTGATATTGTATTTTTTTACCTTTATATATCGTTGTTTTAGAATAAATTATTCTGTTATGCTGATTTTATTTTATGTTCTTTGATATACCTATCGCATGTTCTCTAAATGAGACGAAAGAATCTTTCTAAACCCCATATTATATCCCTCGTATTCCTGTGTCTGTCGTTAATTGAAAACTTTTTCAGCGGTTATCTTCTGTCTTTACGCTGAGTGTATATTGTTGTTCATGTTGTTCCTATTATGAGAAATTAATCATTGTTGATGCTGATATAGTCTATTATTTTCTGTTTAATTTTTTCACAACTTTAAGACCAGATACAATTACAGCTTGAAATATGGCATGTACATATTTATTTTTGTATATTGCGCTCAATAAAAAAACTTTGGTAATATTTGTGGTTATGTTACAGTCTTATTGATGTTAGTTAGTTTACTTGTGCATGTTTCGCATATTAATGATATATATCTTAAAATTAGAAAAATGTAAATTGAAATTCGGAATCGAAGCTTAGAAGCTTTAAACAGTTTTGTCTAATATAACATATCTTTAAATTTATCGTCAAAAGCTCCATATCTTTCCAGGTGGAACTCCAATAACGGTTACATATTTGGTTCAATACTGACTCGCATTACAAGATTATTTGTTATATATTGTATGAGTGTGTCAAATATGATAAAATTATGTATTAATTGAAAACTTGTTTTATTAACATGTTCAATAGGAAACAAATTGTTGGAAAAAAAATAAGCATTTCAACACAAATCAATGACTTGCTTTATTTTATATTTCGTTTATAAATAAATTTCAAAATGTCGAAATAGGATGAACGGATCATACAAACCCGAAGGTAAATATAATACAAGCCCAAACGAAAAAAATATAATAAGTCTAAATTGAAAACAACGTTCAAACCTATGATTGCGTTGGATAAAAACAGCAATTTTTATACGTGTATATGATGGGCTTTTAGGTGTTTATGATCTTAAGTCAATTAGCTTACATTTCGGTTCCCGAACTTTGAAATGCGAAGAGCTTAATATTTAACTCGAACGCATCTGATAAAGAATACCCCCCCCCCTTTCACCAAAAAAATACAAAATAAAAAAAAAAAAAAAAAATCGTGTGTAGTACGCATTGAAATCAGTCTCCGTTGTATTCATTCAGTTTATATGTTAGTGTTGGAAGTTCAACTTGAATTTAATAAGCATGGTATTTTTAATGGACACAAATATAGATATGTTATTTGTTTATTTTCCTAACAAAGGTTATAATTAAGATATTTACATGTGTCTACTAAAATACAAAAATGGTCCCGCAGTTAACAATTTAAAACATAAGTGATCTGTTGTGTATCTCCTATAGATATATGTTTGACTAGATCGATGTTCGGACCAAAATCGGTTTTGGTCTTCATGGCAACAAAATTCTATATGAAGTTTTGTTTGTCTTTTATGGTTTTCTTATTTGCCTAGTGTTGTTTGTTTTTCTTGGACCTATGGCTTTTGAATACATTCTTTGTATCTTATATCACCCTTTTTGAAAAGCAGATTGCTTTTATGAATGAGAGAAAAAAAATTGCTATTGAAACTTCAGGGTGAATTGCATGTTTGAATAACACTAAGAAGACATGTTTACAAATCAGCAGTATAACATTGTATAAGGAGTTTAAGATTGCCTTCAATCACTGTGAACATTCTTTCGTACGGTATTATATAGTAAATGAATTACTTCTTTGATATTGTATTTTTTTACCTTTATATATCGTTGTTTTAGAATAAATTATTCTGTTATGCTGATTTTATTTTATGTTCTTTGATATACCTATCGCATGTTCTCTAAATGAGACGAAAGAATCTTTCTAAACCCCATATTATATCCCTCGTATTCCTGTGTCTGTCGTTAATTGAAAACTTTTTCAGCGGTTATCTTCTGTCTTTACGCTGAGTGTATATTGTTGTTCATGTTGTTCCTATTATGAGAAATTAATCATTGTTGATGCTGATATAGTCTATTATTTTCTGTTTAATTTTTTCTCAACTTTAAGACCAGATACAATTACAGCTTGAAATATGGCATGTACATATTTATTTTTGTATATTGCGCTCAATAAAAAAACTTTGGTAATATTTGTGGTTATGTTGCAGTCTTATTGATGTAACCCAAAAACTTCGTTCATTCATTCTTTCATAACACTTGTAAAATATACTTTTTGTAGACAGTTTTAAGATTGATAAAAAATGTTTTGTGTGCATACTTCTGTTTCGTTTTTTTGATATTTGAAATGTTTAATGACAATGCCACTATGTTTTAGAGAGTCGAAATATTTTTGTGGTTGAAATGCTATAACAAAATATTTCAACCAACAACAGAGAATTTTTTTGAAAATTAGTCTTTTTCATATACAGGATTACCCCTCATTAATTACTCCTATATTTTATGTAGTGTGCCCAGTGTCAAAAAGGTCTCTATTAAACGAGCTTTAAGTTAATTGATCATTACATTTTTCAATCATGATTGTCGACATAAGTTCTCGTGTTCATGAAAAAGAACACAACATAGAGCAACAAACGACAACTACTGAATAACAGGCTCCTGACTTTTAATCATGTGGACAGGAACATGCAGAATGTGGCGGGTGTTAAACCTGTTTGTGAGCGTTCAACCCTCCCCGTACCTAAGACAAATATCTAACAACATAACGTAAGAACAAACGGTAGATGGCTCGACTCATCAAACCGGCATGTAGCACAAAAACAACTAAACACACAAGGCCGTTAGTTTTCTCAATTGAATTGTGTCATATTTTTCATGTCTGGGACTTTTATAATCGACTATATGGTATGGGTTTTTCTGATTGTTGAAGGCCGTACGGTTGCCTATAATTGCTACGTCCACTTCATTTGAACTTGGGTGGATAGTTGTCTCATTAGCAATCATACGACATCTCCTTATTTTTATAACTTAAAGACAAAGGACACACATTAACGATCTAAAAGTACTAGCAGTTACTTAAAGCTAGTTTAATGACGTCATCAACAGTCTGAGAAAAGCCTGACTTTATGCAATGTCAAACTATACGTACATAATATTGACAGAAAGCAGGACCATAAGTTATCACGAATTTAAAATAATACCTATTTAGTTATATTTTAGTTGTAAAAAGAACAAAACCAATGTTGGTACCAATAGACATTATCTTCAAATATAGAATACATTTTTTCTTAATATACGTGCTTTATTAACAACATAACCGTAATAGATGTACGTTTACAAAAGAGATAAAAAAAATGTACACACTAAAATGTGCTAAACATGATTGAATTTACATTAAAAGTCTTAAAGAAAAAAGGTTATACAGGGTATAACATCAAATGAATTTATCAATGATTCATAAATGAGTTCAAGGGCAGATAAACTCTGCCACAAGACCTGTACACCTTGCTATTATTCCATACACCAAATATATTCGACCCACTGCTCATAATATCCGCAATACAAAATTGACCACGAAAACTTTACCTTGTTCACTGACCCATGAAATGAGATCGAGGTCAGGTGAACCATGTCTGACGGACATGTATACCTTGCAAGGATACCATATACTAGTAACCGAATATAGTTATCTTATGACTCATAATAAGTGAGACATTCACATGACGAAAACACTATACAGTTGTTTAAGTAGTCGCTGAACCATGAAAATGAGGTCCGAGACAATGATCATTTAATAGATGGAAAATTCGTAAAACAACTCATCTATATGCTAGGTATAAGGCATCCAGGTCCTCTATACCCGAAATTTAAATAGTTAACGCCTTCGCCAACGTCGGGTGGTATTCTCTATTATCGCATTCTGCGATTTGCATCGCAGGCAAGACAAAATATCTGTCATGTGGTCTCTGACCTAAACGTGGTCGGTGGGCTCCCAAACTAACAGTAGACAATGAAACGTAATAGCTTCTTCTAGCTTCTAGCAACCATTTTCCTATGTTGTCTATAAGTGTTTGTAAAATACATCGATGATGCACAGAACCCTCTTCTTGTAGATATTGTTTAAGTACACGTCAATTTTATAGCAAATGTCTGTTCAATAAGTCATATAAATATGTAGAAATGAATGATAGACCTGTTCCTAGTTGACATTCTGTTTCCATAACTTTGCCGCCCCCTCCCCACTTGCAGTTCTTCTCATTTCTATAAAGCAAAGATATTACAAGTTATGAAACAAAGTCGAATTGTATATGCTTCCGCTCTCACCAAAAGAAAATTGAAAATTTAACCAGAAATTGACGAACAATTACTACCAAAAGACGAAAATACTATTTTTTGGGGGAGGGGGGGGGGGGGGGGGTAGTGGTGGGGGAACAACTTATTAATATTGATATTTAAAAAAAACTTCTTTAGAGTTCAATTGTATTGAATTTATAATATAAAAATTCTACATTTTGAAATTGTAATGACATGGTGTTATTTAACAGCTGAATAAAAATTGTAAATATTCCCTTATAAGTTCAAATGTCAATCTCGAAACGTATTTGGAAACAGAATTATGAAATAAGTCCTAAATGAAGAAAAGATATTTATCATGCTTTTAATTTTTTGAAAACCGCAACTGAATAAATCTGAAAATTTACTGAAAGACTGGAAATGACTTAATAATGTATTGGTCCGATCAAAACGACCGTTTTAGATCGCCATTAGTTTACTTGTGCATGTTTCGCATATTAATGATATATATCTTAAAATTAGAAAAATGTAAATTGAAATTCGGAATCGAAGCTTAGAAGCTTTAAACAGTTTTGTCTAATGTAACATATCTTCAAATTTATCGTCAAAAGCTCCATATTTTTCCAGGTGGAACTCCAATAACGGTTACATATTTGGTTCTGTCAAATATGATAAAATTATGTATTAATTGAAAACTTGTTTTAATAACATGATTGTTCAATAGGAAACAAATTGTTGGAAAAAAATAAGTATTTCAACACAAATCAATGACTTGCTTTATTTTATATTTCTTTTATAAATAAATTTCAATACACCCATTAGAGTACAAAACAATGTTTGTTTTTGCATCGTAGTAACATATTCCCATCCTAGTATATACGTCTCTTCTACGGCAGACATTTAACACCATCATTATTCATCGTTTGAAAATCACATTGACTGAGTGTTAAAACGGAAATATCGGATATTATGTGCAAAACCTTTTTTTTGTTTTCTGTCAGAAGTCTACTTCAGAACATTTACATATTACACATTACTTTCCTTCTCTATATCATCTTTTTGTCATTTCGAAAATTAGTTGAAAACTATTGATGATCTCTTGTTTTGAACAATTAGAACTGTTAAAATAACTTGCATCAACACATAAGTCTACTGCCGTTAAAATTCATATTTTTCTTTTCCAGCTTTTGCTCATTCCACTTCAAGAAGAAAAAGTGTATTTGGTTCAAAGCTGCGTTATTGTTATACGACTATGAGACATATCACGTATAAAGTCTTTGTTGCTGGTTTTCGAATTACTTTTTTTATCACAGTAGTTTTATTATTATTACGCACATCTCTGATATCTAGAAATATTCAAAGAGTCAAACAATATTTTACTTTCGAATATACCTATAAGGTAATTGAAGAGAAGTACATATTTAACTGCACGAATATGGATAAAATCAGAATAACTAAATATGAAGTTGGAGATGGGAGGTCAAAAGTCGTTGACATTGGATATTTCAATGGACAGGTATTAGCTGTTAAGCGGTTGTCAATCTTAAAACAGGAAGGCATGGGATGGGAATCAAGGCAGATGTTTTTTATGAAGGAAATCATTATGCGGGATCAACTTGAACATTCTTCCATCATTAAAATGTATGGCTTTTGCCTACGACATTTACATATAGACTATCAAGGACAGAACTTACTCAAATATTCTGATATTTCGGCTGTTTATGAGTACGGGAATGCATTTGATGTTCGTACTAAATATTTCACAATACAAGAACGACTAAGACATGCTTTGGAACTTGCTGATTTATTATCATATCTTCATAGTTCGCCTTTGGGATCAATGCTTATTGTAGACTTTAAAAGTGATCATTTTCTTATGGTAAACAACAGAATTAAGCTTATTGATCTTGATTATATCTCCAATGTAGAACATGGCTGTCATCTAAATCAAACATTTACTCCGTGTCCATTCAATTGTCCTTGTGAACCCTTAAACAAGGTTGAAAGATCAACAACATTTTGTGAACCGGGAAGTAATTGCAATGTAGGCGTATGTAGAGGTTGCAATGTTAGATTTAACATTTATAATATGTATAACACATTTCTGAAGTATTTATTAGAACCTTCTGTGTTTCCTGTCGAAAGTCGTCGGTCACTAACTGATTTGTTATCTAGATTGCTCAATAATAGTGTTAAAATCGAGGAGTTCGTTAACGGGCTTATTTCAATTCTGCGTATACACACAAAAGGTTAATAAATACTATACTGCAACTGTCCTTTTTGTGTTTTGCGATTGCATTGACCTTTAAAACATTTGTGATATACAGTCAGTGTTTGTGACTTTGATAATGTGTTTCTATGAGTTTTATTTATAACGTCTTGAAAGAATGCATGTTTATATGTTCAGAATGCTGAATATTTACGTCGTACGCATCAAATTCCAAATTGTTCGTTTCTACCCAAAATATTTCATTTGGAACAGTTGTAAGAATTGCAGTATGAACAATCGTATATTGTCTTAAGACAAAACATTCATTCGTTTCAATAAAGCCTTGCATACTACCTGTTTCCAAGCCTTGTACATAATTGTTACATGTATATTTTGAGACAATCTATACTGTCACTGAATTGTGTAATCTTCCCAATTAAACGTTTATGGTGTAATGGCGTTTGGTTTTAGAGGAATGTTTACACAATTTAACATGTTTCTTGACTGTTGTTTTCTATTTGTCATTTCACACGTACCCAAAGTAATCTATTATCACACTGAAAGTTGAGACAGACATATATGATGGTTAGAACATTTTTATGTTTAAAGTACTATTCAGCCTTGTAAAATCAGATTTTGTGTCAGGGTAATTGTCATTGTTTGGGCTATCTTGTTGAGGGTATAACTGTATATGTGTTGTTTTATTTTTACAAAACAGGATTTTATCAAACTATATTCATATGCTCTCGACCTGAAGACTGGATTCTAGGCATTCAAACAACGGTTATCTACTGAATAAGCTGGAGAATGTTATGTAAACGATAAAATTACATTCATTCAATCTCTTCAATTATCTGGTATAAAAATAGTTTGAAATATTTATAGAAAGATGTATTAGCAAACAACTTATAATAGGAGAACACCAACTATAATTATAGTAATAGTAACAATAATAATACTAACAATCAATAGTATCATCATCTTCCGTTTTTTTTTAAATTGATTTTAATTGCATCTCATACTCATTATTCTATGATATTGCAATATCTAAATACACTCTTAGTTTTTAATTGCCTAGAGGACAACTTTATTTATATTCTCCAGTATATGTTATGGCAAGTGTATAAACTAATAAATTACATATATATATTTGCGATTTCTGTAGATATTTATGCTTTTACCGATAAAATTGTATATAAGACAAATGTGGCGTTCACGTTAGAGTAAAACCTTATCAGTGGTTTGTTGGATCTTACTCATATCCGTATAATAGTTTATCGTGATCCAAAGTTAATGTGCGTCCCATGATTATTTAAGGTCATATCTTGAAGCTTGGATTTAGTTATTAAATAGGGCATTAGCTACGAGAAATAAAAAAAATAAAATATGATTTTTTTTGGTTAAATCGATATCATTAATGAAAGTGAAATAATGAAATAATAATTCGCTTTTCGCCAGTTTGGTTAAATTTTGTTAAAATGAGCTAAGAAACATCGCTGATGAATTATTCACTTGCAAGTGAATAATTCGACCTCATTGAAATCGTATTCATGTGACACTCTATTTAACCCCTTAGCTAGAGATGGGTTACGCTTTCAGCTATTAAAAGGAAAATAACTTCATCATTAAAAGTGAAACAAAGTAAACCATTTGGTTGACTGGTTCGATCGACAAAAACCCATTCTTATACAGGTAAGTCCAATTGCACTGTTCGATATCTATTTATGTCTTTATTTATATCTATATCGGGTTAAATGACCGTCGACAGTTTTCGGAGTTTACCTCGATGGTTAATTAGATGGCGTCTAGATGAAAATACACACAAAATGTGGATACAAATTATCAAGTGCATTCATTGTTAATTGTTCATTTTAGACTTTTTGTAAGTTTGATATACGTTTTAGTAGATAATGAATCAAATAGGAGAATTTGAGTGGAATTGGTGAACATGAATTTGACAGCTTTAATACCCCTTTAAGTATAATTTGAAAAGCAAACGTTATTATCATATTCTTTACTTACAGGGCACAACTTTTAAATCATGCATTCACCTTTACAATGTGTTGAAATGATTCAAAAATCACAGAAATGCGACACCCAGTAGTTGTACATTAGATAATCATTTGGCATTACCAAGGTCATATCTAGATGGTTAACGTTATATTCATTCAAAATGTTAGATGTTTATGACATACCATTAATATTTTAACACAAACTTTTCACATATATTTTCGATTAACAATCTATTCAATCAACTTTATTTACTCGAATAAACTTTCCCCGTGGCATAAATGTAGCCTAATTAATTCCTCCACGTTCATATGATCAGGCAAATGTTACCTAATTACTTAAAAATACCTTTAAAGTAGATTACAATTTAAGTCTATATAAGGTTTAAATTCTTGCACTCGTTCATCTGAATACCTACGGAGTATGCGTTACTGCTGTTATCTAGAATATATAGTGTGCATTATACTTAAACATTTAGCTTTAAAATTTCAGTCTATGAATTAATGTATCTATAGACAATAGTGGTGTATTGACTTGACATAAACACGAAATAAGGATAAGGTTTAAAAACAGGACAATGCGAAGGTCTGATCCATTCAAAATACATCATAAAAATTGTTTGTGTGTGTATTTTTAATTATGACCTGTAATTAAAAGAGGGACAAAAGATTCCAGAGGGATAGTCAAACTCACAGATCGAAAGCAAACTGACAATGCCATGGCCAAAAACAAAAAGACAAACAGACAAATATTAGTACAGATGACACAACATAGAAAACTAAAGACTAAGCAACACCAACCCCACCAAAATACCTATTCATTCATCGACAACGTTATTTTTAAAAACCTCAAATTACGACTTTACATTAGTCTTATCTTGTGTCAAGTTTGCAGTTATTATGCAAACTTAAAAAAACAACATTCATAATTAAAGATATCTGAGACATAAGTCATTTTGATAGTAAATTAGTGAAAGAAATACAAAGGAGAAATACAAACATAATTTAAAGGAAGAACGGCAATACAATGGCCCAAAGAAAAACAAACTGACAAATAGCAATTCACAATACAATTCACATTACAATACACATTACAATACACAGTGAAACATGCTAAAGCAAAAAAACAACATATTACTATACTTAACAAGTTGAGAAAAAAAAAGAAGTACAATGCAAGCATTTAAACAAAATCATCATATACTTTTAACAAGAATGTGTCCATAGTACACGGATGCCCCACTCGCACTATCATTTTCTATGTTCAGTGGACCGTGAAATTTGGATCAACCTCTAAATTGGCATTAAAATTAGAAAGACCATATCATAGGGAACATGTGTACTAAGTTTCAAGTTGATTGGACTTCGACTTCATCAAAAACTACCTTGATCAAAAACTTTAACCTGAAAAACTTTAACCTGAAGCGGGATAGACGGACGGACGGATGAACGCACAGACCGAAAACTATAATGCCCATAAATGGAGCATAAAAACAACAATTCAACCATTCCACCTAATTTTTATTTTTTTTTTGATTATCAGCTACAGATTATAAGATTTGTAATGACAATACAATGATGTTATTCTGCTATAACTTTGTATCTTGTAAATGATGTTTTAGTCCACATGGTTTTTTAAAGAGTTGTCCATTTTCTCGAATCCATTTATTGCTCACTGTGGAAAAAAAAAGAATTAAGAATAAAGTTGTTCGTTATTCATTCATATCTTAAAGCCACAAATATGCTTTAAAAGTAAACCAGTTGATATTTGTAAGAAATAAAGGTTACACCTTTTACGTTAGTTAGATTTGACTGTTATCATTAAGTCTTTTTTGGTCGTATAGCTCTTCACCTGTGTGGGTCTTATAAATCTGTCGCCTGCAAATATTCGGCTTTGAACGTCCGTGGATGGTGGGGATGGGGTGGCGGGTGGGGGGGATGGGGGTGGGTTAAACTGGAATAGCGCCGACTTTTGCAAAATCACATAATTAAATATTAACGAAAATACAGTTTTTCGTCATTCAACGAAAATTGGTACCCCAAAAAAATAAATAAGTCACTGTAGTACATGAACATGTCAATATGTTACACGTTGTTTCATTGCTTTTTTAATTGAAAGTGTCATGTATCAATCCGATCAGTTAAGCTTTAGTTGACCCCTAAAGTGTGTTCTTTTTCTGTTTTGTTAAACTTCAGTCCAAAGTTAAAAATATTCTAAGTCTAATCGTTAAAAGACGAAAACATGTAAACCAATGGTTGTCATTGCTTGCCCTCTGTCATATTTTATTTCGTTCACTGTCGTAGAAAAAAAATAAGCCGTTGAATATCACTTTAAATTTATTTCACATTTTGTCATACCGGAGCCCTTTTATAGCTCACTATACGGTTTTGGTTTGCTAAATGTTGAATTAGGTACGTTCACCTGTAATTGGTCACAGCTTTGAACTGTGGTCTTTATAGAAATTTTCAATCATGCAACATCATCTTATTTCTATACAACTTCAAAGTCACTATGGCAGATTAACTATATGGTGAACAGTGAAATAACAACAATACCGAACTCCAAGGAAAATTCAAAACGGAAAGTCCCTAATCAAATGGCAAAATCAAAAGCTCAAACACATCAAACGAATATTCCTGACTACGTACAGGCATTTCCTTGTATAGAAATGGTGGATTTAACCTGGTTTCATAGCTAGCTATAGCTGGTAACTTCAACGTCATTTGGTCTCTGGTGGAGAGTAGTCTTATTGGCAATCATACCACATTTTCTTTTTATGACGAATGGACTTCATATTCTGCTTCACAGTTAAATCCAAGGAAAATAATGTGATTACATGAAATTGATAAAAAAACGTTTTCTACAAGTTAATAATTGAAAAATTCATAAACTTTCAAAAGACGTGTGTTAAAATCTAGTCTTTGATTGTGATAATGCAGGGTCTTTATGTTCATCTTAATACGAATACTATTATATCATCATAATAACAATGAAATCGGTTGTATATCTGTTTCTTTTGTTAAACGGTTTTGGTTTTCTAAATATTGAATGTGGTTCGAAGACATGCAGTTGGTCATAGTTTTGTACTGTGGTTTTCATAGAATGTTGTCTTATTTTAAATCATAAAATATCGTCTTATTTCTATATAATTCCGAAGTCACTAAATCAGATAAACTATACGGGGACCTATATTTGTAAAATTCAACGTCATTTGGTCTCTGGTGGACAGTTGACAATCATACCACATCTTCTTCTTTTTATTTTGAATGGACTTCATATTTTCATATTCAGCTTCCTTCACAGTTAAATTCAAGAACACTATAATTGTGATTGCATAAAACAGATATAAAAAGGTTTATTCTTAGTTATTTTCCACAAGTTAATACTTGATAAATCCCTAAACTTTCAAAAGACGCGTGTTAAAATCTAGTCTTTGGTTGCGATAATGCAGGGCCTTTTTTGTCATCCTAATATAATTATTATTATATCATCATAAAAACAATGAAATTAGTTGTATCCCTGTTACTTTAAGTGTATGTGACATGATATTTGATATTCTGATTTCTTATTTTTGTTGTTATACGTTAACTAACCCCATTTTGATCCAACAAGTACAGGACATCCTGCATGGCACATTCTAGTGTCTACCTCACCATCGAGATGTGTATTATACCAAAACGCAGCAGACCCCTGAAAAAAAAATCACAATATATTGGAAGATTGAAGCTGATTGAAATCCCTAAATATGAAGTTAGTCACTGGTTCGTTATTCGCTATTATATTTGCATTATCCAACCCGTCACTAGCTGTTAGTTCGATATTCGTAGTTTGTAATAAAATAAAGAAAAATGTAGTATTTGATAGGATTGAAAAATTGATAATCATATTTAAAACAGAAAATGCAATGGTTGAACAAAAAGATATGCAGTAACGTTTTCATAATTTCAAATTTTAATGAAAGCATTTTCTTTAATGTATTACCTCTATATGATTTAAACACAGATCCGTTCTTCATGCTTCGCTTAGAATGATCTGACAACGCTCCGTCTAACTTTTTATTCTGCTAGTTATTACATTAGCCAATGGAATTCCTCTCTATAGATTTCTGAAGGTATATATCATTATGACAAAACAATAGGATCACGAAAAGTTTTAAAACAGAACATAGAACGGAACGGATAGCAAGGCCTGGACAAATGATCTATATTTTCATTAAATTTCCATTACCTTTTTTACTGATACCCTGGCCTTTACATTAGGAAACACAGTTGCGCCGCCATACATTACATCAGAAAGCTAAGGAGAACAAAATAGAAAACAGTATAATTGTAGTTATGCCATTTAGGTCAAAATGTTGTGGTGCCAAAAATGTGTTTGGTAGTGTGAAACTCAGTCATTCTAATGGCTGTTATGTTGATGTTTCTTTTATTTTGATATTTTGGGATGGAAATATAATATTAAATATATGACAAATTAAGAAAAATGATTTTGTCAAAGTGATAATAATTAATCATGCTGATTGTTGGTTTCAAACGTTTTCTTTATGTATAACGACCCTAGGTAAACAGAGCTGCTGAATTCATTAAAATTGAAACGACACAATATTTGACAATTATATAGATATGATTCAAACGAGTTAAAAAGAGACTGTTACCTCTTTTAAAAAGAGGAGGAAGTAATCAAAGCTACAATCAAAACTCATTAACTGAAAAAAAGATTGGCATACCGTAACAAAAATACGAAAAACGACGAAAAAACAATAGTCAGCGAAACACCACTGCAATTTAAATACGGATCAACACGAAACCTGCCAAATACTGAATGTGATCTCAGAAGCCCTGTTACTAATGATAAGTACAAATTAGCTGTACTATTTTGGTCGGCTTGGGTTGGATGCTCAGAAACATTTCATGAAATTGTATATAAAAAATTTAGGAAATAGGGAAATCGATTTACTGCTCTTGTTTCCTAACCCAATGTTTGAATATCTTATTTAATTTGTATTTATTTATTCTCGTAGTTTTACATAACGAATTCTTCAATACTTTTATGTTTACAGTAAAAATTTCAGTCGCGAACGTAAAGAATTCAATTTATAAGAATTGGTACATATAATATATATTCCATACCAGTTAAATAATGTACTGTTTTCTCTACATTCCATTTTATTTTACATTAACCTTGTTCTTTAAAACGTCAATACAAACATATTACGTCACATACAGTAACCAATGAATAATTAATTAAGACTGAAAGCAAATACTATAATAAATCCAACCCTTTTGAAACATAGTGCCCTAGATTTGTTCGTATCGATAGCTCACAGATGGGATAAACAAATGTTTTGAATCTGTCTTAAGTAACTGAATACGATAATGTAAAGCATTATAAGACATCAAAATCACAAGACAATAAACAAATATTGAGCAAAAACTCGATAACTGCTAATAAAGGCGTGTCAGCAAACTAGAAAAGGTGTATAAGAACAGAAAACACTTTTTCCAAAGCACAAAAATCAATTGAACTTCCAACAAATATATACCATACGTTCTACCAGTGTGGTACATCCTGCAATACATGCAATACGTGATACACCTGATTTATTTCCAGTTGTCAAAACTCATTACTGGTTGAATTTTGGTAAGGATTTGAATCAGTAAAAGAACCAGTTAGTGAAATAGGTCCATATTATTTATGACCATTCCACTATATCATGTATATGATGATACACACAATTATGCAACTTGACATAAAACATTATAATAAGAACACTAAGGGTTTCTGTATAGGTTGAATATGCCATTATATAGAAGTTAATTATGCCCTTAAAGGAAGCTAATTTTATTTATACAAGGACGATTTTCTCATTGACAATCATACCACATCTCCACATTTATTTTGTAATAAGAAAGCTAACTATGATCTTCAATTATTATACGCAGTTGGAAAAGTGTTTCCCCATCATAGATAACTTCAATTGTTAAGATTTTGCAAACCGTTTCGTGTGTACAAAACTGTTTTCGTGTCCATTGATAGGTTGGTAGCACTAGTTGTAAAAGGATAGCATGCCGAATGTAAATGTACGTTTATAATGATAAGCATGGCTGTTGAAGACCTAAGCATGAAAAGTGTAAATATTTACAGAATGATCATAGTAATTTGCTTCTCAATCAATTCTCCTCATCTTCATTTGGTTGCAGTCTATTCTATTATATATAAAAAGGAACATTTTGTATGAAGAACAGGTACAACGATAATTCTGTAATGCAGACCTAAAAGGAATAGATTTTAAATTTGGCGATCATGATAATTATAATAATTATAGTTTCGAAATTGACAGTTTTGATCAATACACGTCATTGCTTATATTCTACCCTATGTACAGATGGCATATCCGTATCGGACCCACGACATTTATGAAGTTTTATTTTCCTTTTTTTGGAGGAACTTTTTCTTTTCTGTTTTAACGCATGAAGTTTATTACGTGTTGTTTTCATTTTTTTCAAAGCTTTTCAACTTTGTATACGATTTGACCTTCCAACTGTTCAAGAACCACTGATGGCGTTCGAAAATATGAGCCTGACATAACGAGTTCTAATATTTCCATACTCACATAAAACATAACCGTTGCTATTCTCTCCCCAGATTCATTTGTATCAGGTCCTGATGATTTGCTGGCTGCTTCAAACTGCATAAAAAAGAAGTATTTCATGTAAAATGCTTACAAACTCATCAATAAGGTCTGCATACTACATGTATGTTATATATTAAGTCTTACATAATGCAAACATAAGAAAACATTCTGAAGAGAATGAAACAAATGTCTTGCTAGAAATCGATAAAGATGTAGTAGTTCTGACTTCATTTCTGTTCAACATTGTGTTTTTACTTTACAAAATCGTTAGCATATAGCATTTCAAAGTGATAAAAAATGACAAGGGGAGAATGAAAATTCAGAAATCAAAGAAAATAGTCAATACCAGGACCAACAAGATAGTTAAGAAACTTGACGAAAAGACAAACGATTGCCTAAAACATTACATATAAAACTAAACAATGAGCAGCAGGGATACTGCAAAAACGCAAATATTACATAATAGAGAGTCAACAGATAGATGATTAACAGAATCGATTTACAGTTTTTTTTTTAAAGATTAAACATTGTAATACATGTAGATAAATGTTAAAATAAAGAGACATGATATGATTGTCAATGGGACAAAACCGCCTCGATGGTATCGTGGTAGAGTGTTCGCTTCGTGTGCCGGTGATCGTGTGTTCGAAACCCGGCCGGGTCACACCAAAGACTTTAAATTGGTTTTTGCTGCTTCTACGACAGCTTGACCATACCAGACCCGTGAACAGGCCTGCCTTTTAACCTGTCCTGCGGACATGTCTTCTATTTGACAGACCAGTCATGTCAGTCATGGGGATAGGTCTGCTTTTCAATCGGTTCTTTGGATATATATGTTTTTACAAAACTTGTTCATACATGTATGTGATAATAACCAAATGATATTCATCAATCAAAGCGGTCCTGTTTATTAGTTAACTTAGGAGCATGTTAAATTCATTTTGGAGCAGACTAAACCAAACTTAACTTTGATTGGAAGAGGTCTGGGTCGGACAGAGCAGTCTAGATTAATGACTGCGTTTAAAAGCAGAATTGGGCACAAGTTAACTTGGATGTAGAACTGGTTGTGGCGATGTTAACTTCGTCCAGAGTAAACTTCAATATTGGACCTGTCATAAAGTTAACTTTTCGGGCAGTCATAAAAACAGTTCTAGGACCAAGTCTGCTTTTTAACATTTTTTATTGACTAATCACAGTGCCCGTATTAAGACAGAATAATTACAGTTTAATTATGACTACAAGACAAAATATAAAATACAAAACATGATTTGTATGATTGATTTGATTAAAACATTGAACATATATATAATTATTAAAGAAAAAAAACTGTTCAAAATTTTGACATAACAAATTCAGCCTGACTTAGTCTGACTAATTAATACCTTCATAAGACCAGAGAAACTATATATACTGGCGAATAAAAACTAGCAATATGGATACTACTTGAAACACAAAAATATCATACAATAATAAAAATAATAATAATAAAAAGGGGGGGGGGGGGGTGGCAGCTCTTAAGGCAATTATTCATTAGTGCATCTCTTTCTTTGGACAGTTGTTTTAAAAGTTTTTTAATTATATAAATGATGTCTGTGTCTTCATTGCTTAAAAAACAAATTAATTTGTTTTCATCAGAAAGTTTACTAAAATTCTTACTATTCATCATCATCTTTCATCTTCAACAAAACATTTATGTTGATTACATTTTCTTTTACTTATATCTATGTTTTAAGTTAACATGAATTCTGTCCAGGACCGGTCGGAGCAGTCATAAATCCTGTTCCAAGTAAATTTCACCAGTCATAACGTCTGGTAATCAAGATAACAAGCTGAACAGTTCAGAAATGTACCCATCTGTAATAACCCCAGCCTAATAAAGTGTTTAACAATTAAAAACCAAAACCAAAAAACCAAAAACCAAAAACCTGTAACACTCGATATTTTATATTTGTAGATGAAAACAAATAAAAGTATTTTCAATTAAAGGTTAGATATAACTTGCAGGGACAGCTGCATGTGAATAAAGTCAAAGCCATCAATTAGGTATAAAATATGTCAACCAATAAGTAAACTTTAATCAAATTCTGATTATTGTATGAAAGAAAATAAAGACATTGAATCAAATATGGTGATCTTGAATAAGATAGTGAACTTTAAAGTTGAATTATATAAAAAAAAAAACACAGCACATTCCATACCAATGCATCTAGATGTGGTCTATACATTCCACCAACTCCATAATTTACTACCTTTTAAGCATAAAATAACATCTATTAATTAATATCTATGATTATAAAGAAAAACAGGTCATTCTAAATAAAAACTTAGGCCATGACTTTTCGAAGGAGTCATTTGAAGATTTAAAATGTGACAACATTTTTTGAGTATTACTCTATTTATTCTAATTTGGGCACTCCTATGTAATGAGAGAGAAAACAAAAACAATAAAAACACAGCAGTACGATAAAGCAGTACTGGTTTAACAGTATCTGCTGGCCATAACATAGCACATACGTTCACTATCCTTTTTTATTTAATTGTTGTGTTTAATGAATTGATGTTTGTCTATTCTATTATATATAAAAAGGAACATTTTGTATGAAGAACAGGTACAACGATAATTCTGTAATGCAGACCTAAAAGGAATAGATTTTAAATTTGGCGATCATGATAATTATAATAATTATAGTTTCGAAATTGACAGTTTTGATCAATACACGTCATTGCTTATATTCTACCCTATGTACAGATGGCATATCCGTATCGGACCCACGACATTTATGAAGTTTTATTTTCCTTTTTTTGGAGGAACTTTTTCTTTTTTGTTTTAACGCATGAAGTTTATAACGTGTTGTTTTCATTTTTTTCAAAGCTTTTCAACTTTGTATACGATTTGACCTTCCAACTGTTCAAGAACCACTGATGGCGTTCGAAAATATGAGCCTGACATAACGAGTTCTAATATTTCCATACTCACATAAAACATAACCGTTGCTATTCTCTCCCCAGATTCATTTGTATCAGGTCCTGATGATTTGCTGGCTGCTTCAAACTGCATAAAAAAGAAGTATTTCATGTAAAATGCTTACAAACTCATCAATAAGGTCTGCATACTACATGTATGTTATATATTAAGTCTTACTTAATGCAAACATAAGAAAACATTCTGAAGAGAATGAAACAAATGTCTTGCTAGAAATCGATAAACATGTAGTAGTTCTGACTTCATTTCTGTTCAACATTGTGTTTTTACTTTACAAAATCGTTAGCATATAGCATTTCAAAGTGATAAAAAATGACAAGGGGAGAATGAAAATTCAGAAATCAAAGAAAATAGTCAATACCAGGACCAACAAGATAGTTAAGAAACTTGACGAAAAGACAAACGATTGCCTAAAACATTACATATAAAACTAAACAATGAGCAGCAGGGATACTGCAAAAACGCAAATATTACATAATAGAGAGTCAACAGATAGATGATTAACAGAATCGATTTACAGTTTTTTTTTTTAAAGATTAAACATTGTAATACATGTAGATAAATGTTAAAATAAAGAGACATGATATGATTGTCAATGGGACAAAACCGCCTCGATAGTATCGTGGTAGAGTGTTCGCTTCGAGTGCCGGTGATCGTGTGTTCGAAACCCGGCCGGGTCACACCAAAGACTTTAAATTGGTTTTTGCTGCTTCTACGACAGCTTGACCATACCAGACCCGTGAACAGGCCTGCCTTTTAACCTGTCCTGCGGACATGTCTTCTATTTGACAGACCAGTCATGTCAGTCATGGGGATAGGTCTGCTTTTCAATCGGTTCTTTGGATATATATGTTTTTACAAAACTTGTTCATACATGTATGTGATAATAACCAAATGATATTCATCAATCAAAGCGGTCCTGTTTATTAGTTAACTTAGGAGCATGTTAAATTCATTTTGGAGCAGACTAAACCAAACTTAACTTTGATTGGAAGAGGTCTGGGTCGGACAGAGCAGTCTAGATTAATGACTGCGTTTAAAAGCAGAATTGGGCACAAGTTAACTTGGATGTAGAACTGGTTGTGGCGATGTTAACTTCGTCCAGAGTAAACTTCAATATTGGACCTGTCATAAAGTTAACTTTTCGGGCAGTCATAAAAACAGTTCTAGGACCAGGTCTGCTTTTTAACATTTTTTATTGACTAATCACAGTGCCCGTATTAAGACAGAATAATTACAGTTTAATTATGACTACAAGACAAAATATACAATACAAAACATGATTTGTATGATTGATTTGATTAAAACATTGAACATATATATAATTATTAAAGAAAAAAACTGTTCAAAATGTTGACATAACAAATTCAGCCTGACTTAGTCTGACTAATTAATACCTTCATAAGACCAGAGAAACTATATATACTGGCGAATAAAAACTAGCAATATGGATACCACTTGAAACACAAAAATATCATACAATAATAAAAATAATAATAATAAAAAGGGGGGGGGGTGGCAGCTCTTAAGGCAATTATTCATTAGTGCATCTCTTTCTTTGGACAGTTGTTTTAAAAGTTTTTTAATTATATAAATGATGTCTGTGTCTTCATTGCTTAAAAAACAAATTAATTTGTTTTCATCAGAAAGTTTACTAAAATTCTTACTATTCATCATCATCTTTCATCTTCAACAAAACATTTATGTTGATTACATTTTCTTTTACTTATATCTATGTTTTAAGTTAACATGAATTCTGTCCAGGACCGGTCGGAGCAGTCATAAATCCTGTTCCAAGTAAATTTCACCAGTCATAACGTCTGGTAATCAAGATAACAAGCTGAACAGTTCAGAAATGTACCCATCTGTAATAACCCCAGCCTAATAAAGTGTTTAACAATTAAAAACCAAAACCAAAAAACCAAAAACCAAAAACCTGTAACACTCGATATTTTATATTTGTAGATGAAAACAAATAAAAGTATTTTCAATTAAAGGTTAAATATAACTTGCAGGGACAGCTGCATGTGAATAAAGTCAAAGCCATCAATTAGGTATAAAATATGTCAACCAATAAGTAAACTTTAATCAAATTCTGATTATTGTATGAAAGAAAATAAAGACATTGAATCAAATATGGTGATCTTGAATAAGATAGTGAACTTTAAAGTTGAATTATATAAAAAAAAAAAACACAGCACATTCCATACCAATGCATCTAGATGTGGTCTATACATTCCACCAACTCCATAATTTACTACCTTTTAAGCATAAAATAACATCTATTAATTAATATCTATGATTATAAAGAAAAACAGGTCATTCTAAATAAAAACTTAGGCCATGACTTTTCGAAGGAGTCATTTGAAGATTTAAAATGTGACAACATTTTTTGAGTATTACTCTATTTATTCTAATTTGGGCACTCCTATGTAATGAGAGAGAAAACAAAAACAATAAAAACACAGCAGTACGATAAAGCAGTACTGGTTTAACAGTATCTGCTGGCCATAACATAGCACATACGTTCACTATCCTTTTTTATTTAATTGTTGTGTTTAATGAATTGATGTTTGTCTTTTTATATCTTTACATCTTAGTCATAGTGTTGTCTGTATTTCTTTGATTAACATTTTTTGATATCATTTCTGGGTATGTTACTTGTGTGTGTATGAATGTAGTCTGCTATATCGACCTTATTTAATAAATTTATTTTTCTAAACTAATCTGCAGTGTTCTTATGGATTAAAACATGTCCTGTTCCACATCGGTTGAGGTATCTTTCCGAGACTCTCATATGAGCTAGAGGCGTGTTAAATTGATAGATGTTGCAAAAACTAGCATCATCGTTACCCTCCATTATCATTAGGAAAAATTTCAAGTTATTATAAGCAAAGCAAACCAATGGATTTTGCACAGAGCCTTGATATGTTACGAGCACAGGTTAAAATATCACATATTTCAAATGATATGTTTTAACAGGGGCTATGTGATAGAATTGAGAATGGAAAACGGTGAATGTATCAAAGAGACAACAACCCAACCAAAGAGTAGAAAACAGCTCAAGGCTACCAATGGGTCTTCAATGCAGCGAGAAAATCACGCATCCGAAGGCGCCCTTCAGATAACTTTTTTGTTACATAGTTCATATCTTAAAATATGTTAATGTATTTTCCAATACTTAGTATCAGAAACCAAGCCAGTGGTTTAGAAAGCAATGCTAATGATGTTGTCCTTCAAATAATTGGTATTTTCGGCCTATATTGGCCCCTTAATTTTTAACACACCTGATAGTGTTCTGTGTTGCTGAATCTTTCTTTATATTCAGTTTCAAGTCCTGTTATCATTTTCACACGTGATGTTATTCTTTTGAGTATGGGATATTGAATGTCAGATAACCATGCACTAAATTGAAACAAACACAATTGATAAATATGCACTTAATTGAACAGAATTACCCTTGATAGAAAAAATATACATTAGATGTTTTGTTTTTACGTTTACGAGTATTTCTTACTCCGAAACAGTCACGACGTTGCTTTGCTGAACTTACTGATAAGTCAGCGGCGCATAGCAGATACGACGTTACAACTGTTTCGGAACTGGACAAGAGTCTGCACCTTACTCTAAAATATGTGTGCGGTGATGTCTGCTATTTGGTCGATTATTCTGTAGTCATGCTGTTTAATACATGTATAGATCTTTCTTCACGGTGCAATTTTATTCATTTTTTCTCCTGGTCTTATCAACATGTTTTTTTTTTATTATGATATGAAATAAAAAAATTGTAAATTCATATGATGGGTTAAATATTCCTGATGGCTCTTTTTAGCATTTGTTTTACAACTATCTTGTAGTGGGGTAAATGATGCTCAGTCTTCGTTGTCTGGATATTGGTTGATGGAATATTCAATTGTTTTGACTATTCTTTTGGAGTTATTTCTCTGATGATGGGGATGCTACACAGTGATTACTTTTTCAAGATAATATCCAAACACAAAAAACAATGATACAACTTCTATAAGGAGGTTACTGACGATTTCGGTTATTTGAATTATTTATAGATTTTGTTCATCCTGGTCGTTTTCACTGTTATTATTTCTCTCTATCTATTCTTTTTTTTATGATATTAGCCACACCACCAAAATTGACAACAATAGTCTTCTGTTATGAGTCGACTGACGACTCGAAATAATAGTGGGTCTTACTGATCATTTCGCTGATTACAATTTGTCTATTCCTACTAATGTTTTGATAAAGAAAACGTAAAAAGGGAAATTTGTCATTTAACGGCAATAACTCATTTAAGTCGTCGACTGACTATTTCGGCTACATGTATATATATATATATATATCCCTTTTTGTAGATCTTGTCCAGCTGATTATTTATACTGTTAACTACTAAGTTTAAAGTTGATAACAAGACACCAAAAATGGAAAAAACAATCGTTGTTTAAGGGCTAAAACTGTTACACGTATAAGGAGTCAACTAACTTGTTATTTGTAGATCTTATCTTGGTGATCATATTTGCAACCTTATGCGATTCGCTCTATTCATTTTTCAAAATGATAGCTAAAAACGCAAGATATAAGTAAGAAATTGTCCTTTGAGGGAGTGGTCTGAACATTTGATTGAAATGTACAATGGGTATACTTTGACCTTTCTTTCCGTCAGGTTTTAATAATTTTCCATACAGATGATTGTGGGCAAAGTTTGGTTCCGATTGGCCAGGCATTTCCGAATGGAGAAATTTTTTTATGTGTAAAAGTAAGGACGAAGGCCTCATACTATGGGACCCCATTAGCAAATTGAGCTTAAATGTAAATAAATATTTGTTTGAAATTTGATTTTATTAAGATCTGCTGAGTTGATTGACACAAAAACATCAACTAAAAGTTAGGGAGCCTCGATGGCAAAGTGGTTTAAGTAGTCGAACTACTATATCACTAGCATGTCAACACTGAGGTTGAGAGTTCAAATCCGGCACCTGGCAGTTGCGTTTTACTCCAATCTTAATTGACTAGGACTGTCAGTTTTCCTACCGACGGACTGTTGTTCTCTCCGGGCATTCTGGCTTCCTCCACCAATACAAACTGACCGCCACGAAATAGTGCAAAATCTAGAGGCGTTAAACATTAATCAATCAATCATCAATCCACTACTAGTTTTATACAGCAGCAATACTTACGTCATACTTATTCTATTTTAAGCTACTTGCACGGTTCCTTTACTGAGGTCTTCAAGAACTGTAGATCGTGTCATCTAAGAATAAGAAAAACAATTATCTGGTGCTAGTCATTGATTTCTATCTGCCTAATTGTTTTTCGTTTATCGTGGTATAGAATTGTCATTTAAGGGGAATAACTGATATTATAAGTCAACTGAGTATTTCAGCCATGTAACTAATTTGTAGACGTTAACAATATTTTTTATAAATTGTAGTTTCTATCTGAATATTATACATTTAACCCCGTCGCATTTTTGCGCCTGTCCCAAGTCAGGAGCCTCTGGCCTTTATTAGTCTTGTATTATTTTTAATTTCAATTTCTTGTGTAGAATTTGGAGTTTAGTATGACGTCCATTTTCACTGAACTAGTATACATATTTGTTTAGGGTGCAGCTGAAGGACGCCTCCGGGTGCGGGAGTTTCTCGCTGCATTGAAGACCCATTGGTGGCCTTCGGCTGTTGTCTGCTCTATGGTCGGGTTGTTGTCTCTTTGACACATTCCCCATTTCCATTCTCAATTTTATTAGTAGTTTTCAAATGATAACCAAAGCGAGTGAAATTACTTAAAAATTGACATTTAAGCGCAACTACTTCTAGAAAGTTTAACTTCTTTTAGATCTGGTAGGATCTGCTTACGCTTCCGGAGCACCGGAGATTACACCCGGTTTTAGTGGGGTTCATGTTGCTCAGTGTTTAGTTTTCTATGCTGTGTTTGTATACTGTTCTTTGTCTTTTGGTCTTTTTCTTTTTTTGCCATGGCGATGTCAGTTTTTTTTTCGACTTATGAGTTTGAATATCCCTTTGGTATATTTCGCTTTTCTCTAACGGACGCCATCATGACTAATTTGACCGCTAATATGGAATTTCTGTAAATACGACTTATCACAGGATGAGCAACATGACGGGTGCTTATGATGTAGCAGAATATGCTTACCTGTCCGGGGTACCTGAGTTAACCTCCGTTTTTTGGTGGGGTTCATGTTTCTCATTCTTCAGTTTTCTGTTAGCTGTTTTATTATTTTCAATTTGTTTGTCATTTTTCTTTTTATTATAATGTTGTTTGTTTTATTGGTCTTATCTTTTTTATTGTCCTTTTGAAATAAAAAAGATGGTAGATATTGACACATTTTCTTAATTTTCACTCACCTTTTCGCTGCTTGTATTTCGTAAATAGTCAATTTCATTGTCTGATATTACGTTGTGAAATAAATATATATTTGGCTTTATATTCGCCAATTCAGCTTTAACGCGAAAAATTGGAATATCAGTCATCTTGTAGAAGCAAAACAGCCTAGATAAATGTCTGTGACTCTGAAAACGTAACAAAAAACAACCAATAAAACATATAAGACAGTCGTATTCTACGATATCTATTTTTCAATTCACTTGTAGCTAAATATGTTACAGTGCATTTGTAAAAGGGATTTTGTAAAATCCCTGAATTGATTAGTGATTTCGTAAAATCACTGAAAATATTGCTAGGGATTTTGTAAAATCCATAATTACAAGATAGTTTACACTTAATACAGATTGACCATTAATTTTACATACTACATGTATACCTGTCGACTGCAGTGGCGGATCCAGAACTTTTTGTAAGGGGGGGGGGGGGGGGCCGCTAACTGACCGAAGGGGGGGGGGGGGGCCGCTCCAGTCGCGCTTAAGTGATTCCCTATATAATCAACCACATTTTTTTTATATGTAGCATATTAATAAGACAACACTTATTTGATTTTAAACTTTCCTTTGTATTGATCAAACATGTGAGAAATCTACGATGATAATAATTGACTTGTTTCGAAAGTTTGAGTCAGCATAATATGCCCAGGGTAGAGTGACATGTCTTCCTGTGGACTATTTCAATGTGAACTATCATCTTTATATTCTGCTGGATCAGCATATCGATCTAGCACAAACAGGGGTCATATTCACATCACATTAATATATTTTCGTCCGGATATGCCTTTGATACTTGCCACTGTATGACATGACCTAAACAATAAAATTGAGAATGGAAATGGGGAATGTGTCAA